GTGAACAAAGTGGGTAGATGGTTATCACAAAAATTAAGGAAAGATAGAAAAAAAATTAAAATTAAGGAAGAGGGTAACACTTATACACAACATGAAAACATTAAAGAGGCATTTCACAATTTCTATAGTAGGTTGTATAAGGAATATCCAATAGATAAAGAAAAATTAGAGGAATATGTGAATAGGGAAGAGATACCAACTATAAATGAGATACAAAAAGAACAATTAAATAAGGAAATTACAAAGGAGGAAGTAATAGAAGCTATCCTACAGAGCAAGGAGGGTAAGACCCCTGGTCCAGATGGACTTTCAGTAAAAGGTAAATTTTTAAAATACATTTTAATGGTTCTGGTTCTGAATGTACTGAACATCTGTTCAAACCAGAACAGCTGGGAAATGGAACTTGACTTCATACTAGGCAGATTAAGATGACACAGGCAATTGTCCCATTATATTGACATTTGTGGCCTGTTATGCTAATTTTCTTAGTTTATTTCTCCCAGAAGCTTCTGCATCTTCAGCTGATGCTAAATTTGGGGCTTCACTAAGGTGAAACTAGTCTAATCTTGGTGTCTGTGATTATCATCATCACATGCTTGACACAGATTTGGAAGGGAGGGAGGTACTTGTACCACCACCTGCTAAGACATGTTGTTGTATGCCTTCAAGTCATTCCCAACTTATGACATCCCTAAGATGAACCTATCATAAGGTTTTCATGGCAAAACTTGTTCAGAGGAGGTTTGCCATTGCCTTCCCCTGAGGCTGGGAGCATATGACTTACCCAAGGTCACCCAGTGGTTTTCCATAGCAAAGCAGGGAATTGAACCCTCATTTCCAGAGCTGTGGTCCAGCACTCAAACCACTATGCCACACTGGCTCTCAAGACATATCCCTAGTCTAATCCATTTGACATATAGATTATCAGTTTTCAGAGTAAGTGTTATGATTTTGTTTCTTTAGACTCATACATTACATAGAGGTGCCATTAATGAGAAGCATAGGTCAATCAGTAGGGAAAACAAAAGCACAAGAGGATTTTTGTCTATACAGTCCACCCACACCATATGCAGGCTTGCCATACGCAGTTTTGAACATAAGCATACAACAAGCCCAGACAGACAAAATGGCAGAAGCACACTGCAATAGCATTGAATGGGCCTTAAGCATACATATTTTTTCCCATATGCGGTGTGTGTGTGTCTGGAACGGATCCTCCATGTATGCCAAGGACCCACTGTAAAAACCTCTGTAGATTTCCCCTGACACAGCTCATAACAGACCAGAAGAGCCAGCAAGGTGTTACACACAGTTAACATGGGGTATCTGTGCTATTGCTTCTCTGGGTTCACAACAACTGGTTGAACATAGGAGCTGGTCTGGGAGAGGGGATTGCTTTATGTAGAGATTTTAAGGTCTAAAGCTTTGCCTGTTATCTAATAAAGCTGTTACTCCTTACACCCACCGATGTGTGTTTTGCCTCTGTATTCTTGAAGTACTAACCTCATTTGGTTTTACAGCTGTGTGTAAATTTCATTGCCCCATCAGAAATCTATGGACTTTTGGCTGCCAAGTTAATTCATGTTCAAGTCCAGCATGTGCAAATAGGATGATCTCATATTAAAATATGAAGCTCAAAAAATTCTCACCAGTCCCTAAAGCCATCTATATTTAACTATTGATGCTCGCTTATGTCTGAAAAATTCATATTGATTTGTCAGTTGTCTAGTTTCAGACCTTTCCTATTTGCTATAGTTCATACTGTGTTACAAAACATGTGTTTTCCTCTTGATGACAAATGCAAAAAAAGGAAGAAATTGGAATGTACAGTTGCAATGAAATACAGCAGCACCTTAGGGAAAGAAATGAAATTGTCACTATACTGTCACTTTAAGGCTTAAGGCAACGTTTTCTTTTTTAACATCAGACATTGTCCAATGTCACTTCTGATTCAGTAAACAGGGGGGAAAATTATACAACTGTCAAAATAATCACCGCAGCTCAGTGAACCTTCAACAACTCAATTCAAATGGGATGTGTTTATTTCCTATTTAGCATGGGCTGGTTAAGGAAGCTGTCCCTATTATTATGACTGTGTCTTAAATAAAGCTTGCATGAAAAGTTTGCAATTAATGCCAATCAAAAGTCTGGAAGTGTTCAAGTGCCTTTGTGCATTCTATGGGTTAGATCCAGATATAGTCAGAGAGGGGAGCCTGGAGTATCCTGGCCCCAGAGCTGCCCCAACTCCCCCCCCCCCATTACCTGGTTCTCTTTTCCTGTCAAAATGATGCACCTAGCGATGATCTCATGGCTTGGCACCTCGTTCTGGACTCAGAACGAGAATCTAGCAATATCAGCAAATGGGCTGGCTGGCTCAGCAGGACGCCCATGCAGACAACCACCCCAGCAAGGGAAGAGAGGGCTCTGGATCTTCCCACAAGATTCTGAGTAAAAGGTAAATTTTTAAAATACATTTTAAGGGTTCTGGTTCTGAATGTACCAAACATCTGTTCAAACCAGAACTGGAGTCTTGGCCATGCATCATCGAAACATGTTGCCACCAAAACTGGGAGGGGGGGGGAAGGCTTTTTGGCCTCTGCAGACAAGTCTTAAGTTTGAATCCAGACCAGTGTCCTGACCAGTAGGGTACCAGCTGTTCTATTTTATCCACCCCTAATCCTATCCTGATCTATAGATATTAGCTGGGATAATATTTCTATTTCATCCATACATCTTTTTTTTTTTATCCCACCATTCATGTTGCTGCAGCTGGTGAAAAAGCTGCAACTGGTGAACGGAAAGAAAGAAAAGAAACATTCAGTGAAGTCACTGGTGAAGTTATATCTGTCTTCACAGCTAATTCAGTCCAGCTGCACTTCTGGGCTGTATACTTGAATTTTTATGAAGACTGGGATCCCATACAAAACTGGTTACAAACCTCCATTAAGATTAGTGGTTAACAATTAACCAATTAACAATATGTCTGTCTTATCTAGATTAACTATTCATTTGCTTTCCCTCATTTATATCATCTTAACTATTAACGGCATCCCTGGGATCAGAAGGATTGGAGCCAATGTAACAAGTTACCTCCAAGTTCCAGTCTATCAAGATGATCCAGAAGGATGCCAAGGATGTTAGCATTAAAAATTATGCATAGATCTAGAAGAAGTAAGAGGTATACACTCCTATTCATCTCCCTACCTGTTGGCATATTTAGAATACAGGAAGACATCCCTTGTAACCATAAGACCTAGCTGGCAAATTTATCTTGCAGATTGTTTAGGGTCACTAAATAATGAGGTTTTGAATATTCATAATTACTAGAGTGAGCTTAATTTTTAAAAATGTTTTAGTTAATTGCTTTTTCTTAAGCTGCATATATTTAAATATCCCCCATGGGATAATTAATTCATACACACCAAGGGGTGGGTTCTTAATTTTTGCTCAAATCATCATGGCACTAGCAAGGAAGACTGCAGTCAATTTTCCTTGTCCTGATGAGCCCTCCATAAATCTGGTTTTGACTTTCTCATGAGGAAGATCACAATATCAAGATGAAGAACCAGAATTAAGGAAAACAGGTCACAGAGTAGCACTGCTCCTTCTGAAGCACTGTTCATCCTGATTTTCCCTGTTCCATCTTCTGCCCACCACCATCACCAAAGGCCACTCTTCTCTCACTTATCCTGCTAATCTTAATCTCCTGGCACTGACCCTTAATTCCCATGCACCTCCCAGGTCTCAACCACAGGGGACTATGCAACTCTAGCCTCCAGTAAATGTTTTCTGCCTTCTTAGATTGGTATTTTTGGTTTTGGCTGACCCATTCATGATTTCTCCCCACCACAAAGATGAGAGTTGCTACAAAGAATGCATAACTGTAACAAATTTTGCAGTATGAGATTTTGGCTGCATCTACACTGCAGAATTAATGCAGTTTGATACTGCTTTAACTGCCATGGCTAAATGCTATGCAATTCTGGGATTTGCAGTTTGAAGAGATATTTAACCTTATTTGTCAGAGAGCTCAACGAGCTACAAATCCTAGGATTCCATAGGATGGAGCCATACCACTTAGAACAGTGTCAATCTGTATTAATTCTGCAGTTTGGCAGCAGCATCTGAGATGTCAAAGATCATTCATCCAATCAATAATGTTACCCTTCCTTGATCTATATTTTGTTCATATATTGACATATAAATTGGTTTCCCTTTCTGGCAAATGTGGCTTGATAAGCAAGAGCAAAAACTAGGAATCTCCTACCAGGAGCTCAAGAGTAACCTCCTTCAGTTTTTAAACAGTTATTTCCTCACATTGACTGCCTTTTAAGACACAGTCACATCAACACATCTGCTAGAAAATGCACTAATGAAACAAAAATACAATACACCAAACAAACAAACAAACAAAAACTTTTAGTTCTACTACATGTTAACTTCACAAGAAATATAGCATGGGTTCAGTTCAATTATATGCTAAATACAGCATAAGAAATATAGCATATATTTGTAGCAATGAATACAAATAACTACAGCTGAAATTTGTTTTCCTGCTTTGGACATCTTCAAGTTTCCTACTTAAGAAATGGTGAGCCTGTCACAGGTTTTCCTTGGCAAGATTTGTTTGTAGAGGGCATTGCCTTTTTCTGAGGTGGAGAGTGTGATTTTCCCAAGGTTTCCAGTGAGTTTCCATGACCAAGTGGGGATCTGAACCCAGGTTTCATTAGTCCAATACTAAACTCACTTCTACATGCTGTTTCTCCCCATTGGAATTTACTTCTGTTTTGGAAATAACTAAAAACAAGAAGGATAACAATGTGACACAGCTATACAGAACTTTCCATCACCATGTTCATCATCAATAGAACAGAAATAATGTCATGTGCCAAATTCCCTTCACATTAGAAAAAACACATCACAAAATCCTACTCAAACATACATCAAGAATGTCTGGGCTCCATCCCCCCTTTAGCTACAAGGCACCTTGAGTTAGCATGACACTGACCAATTGTCACATCTTGTGGAATTAACACAATAGTGTGCTTAAGTACATGCACACAGTTGCACACTACCCACTAATCCAAACAAAAACAAACAAAAAGCCAGCAATAATTGACAAAAGTGTATCAAGGAGAGCTAAGCTGAAACGGTAGGTGGTTGAAAATTTTACAGCCAGTGCTATTTGTGGTGTGCCAAGTCATGTCTAGGTTGCCATTTAAGATATCTCTTGAAGTGTATGTGTGCATGTTTTGAGTTTAGCAATTATTAAATATTTTAAAAGTAAAATATCTTGAAAGTAGTGAACTAGCAGAACACACCTTGGGATTATTAGGCAGATTTCCATCAAAGAGATATTTTAAAACAGATATAAGCCATATACAGTTGGCCCTCCACATTTGCTAGATTTAGTGGCACAGGACCCCTGTGATAGTGGGTAAACTGTCAATTAAAAGAACACTATTTTATACCTGAAAGAACAGCTCTCTAGAAATCTTTCAGTCCTCCATCACAACGCTATGGTCAACATCTGACAGAAGTTGACCATAGCATCACACTGGAGGACCTACAAATTACTTGAGAATTGTTTTCTCTAGGAATCTTTGGGTCCTCCAGCATGATTCTATGGTCAACCTCTGGTGAAGTCATGCTGGAAGAGCTAGAGATTCCTAGAGAGAACATATCAATCAAACATGCAAATAATCAAATCCACAAAAGTCAAAGCCACAAATGTGGAGGGGCAACTGTATAAGCATAAGAAGGGATCCTAAAAATGATATTAGCCATACATAAGCATAAGGTTTATATGCACATTCCACATTTTGTAGAACAGCTGTTCTGAGAGGCAACACTCAGAGATGTGACAGAATAAGGACTCAC